TTTTTTCTTCTTCTCAAAATGTAAACAAATGGCTGCCAAAATCTACGTGAACGACAAGCTAGATTTACAAGTATTCTTGTCAGAAAAACGAATACGGAAACGGTTTTTGAAGCTAAATGATTCAGTGGCTTATAGAAATTACGTTTTGAAACACTCGTTTGCTTAAAAGATATTTCCGAATGCATTATTAGTCAACGCGTTATACGGTGGTGCAATGACAAAAATATCTTTCGACTCGATCAAACTAAGTTATTGACACACGTTTTAAAGGTAAACTACTTGTTACTCTTCAAACAGTTTATAGACGCTCAACCTTAGTTATTTATCTACATTTAATCAAAATTTGACCGCATAATTCGCTACGGTTCATGAGATTTCAAGGATCAAAACTACGAGGTCGTTTTTGCTGTAGCACATGTTAAATTAATTCCGGTCAGGCAAACGGCTCGTGCAAATAAAATTTCGGCCAGGTAATCCCACGAAAAAATAAAATTCAGGAGTGAAAGTGTTTAATTTATTGTTGAAATTTATATATATTTGGACAAAAATTACAATAGTTAGGTAACAACCTCTTTCTGTCTTGATGACATAATGATATTCATCACCGATGTCTCTTGATTCGCAAAGATAGCACACCCTATCATTTCTGGATATGTTGCTCCACCTTCCCGTTTCAATAGGTAATCGGTGACTTCCACATTTAAATTTACACAATAAAAATTTATATATTGACATTTTTGAAAAGAGATGTACACCTCTGAGGAGCCAAAAATTTCTAGAATGAAACTTTTTTTCTTAACTTGATTTTTAGGTTTATATGACTGTAAAAAAAATAATTGGTGAAGAAAAAATCATGTGGTGGTGCACTTTCTTTTTTTTTTTTTTTTGCTACGGCCATTTGAAAGTACCCAATTTTGATGATTTTCCCATTTTTCATCAATTTTTACCCATTTTTGGGCTATTATCATTAATAAAATCACAGTTTCACAATTAAACTTTTTTTTCATACTTTCACTAAAGATGAAGTGGGCCAATTTGAATAAATTTAACGCTACTCATGTTTTTGACTTTTTGTCAGATATTCGGAATCCTCTAGTTTTATCCATGTAGTGCCAATAAAAATTTTGCCCACTGACCCATACTTTTCTTTTCATAATTTTATTGCATATAGTTTTAAAAGTCATTTTTGAACATTTTATAAAATCCTTGTTATTTTTTCATAGTTTTTGAAAGGAAAAGGGTGTCAGTGTTAGATGTATGAAAAATCTAGAGAGAACCATTTCCCGCCAAATTTTCAATTGATTATATCTCAAAAACTAAAACACAGACCTATCATTTTTTTCTAATCTTTAAGTTACCTTATTCATATTCTATCAATCTATAACAGTCTTTTAAAAACCTTGTTATTTTGAAATAGAGGAGTGATCATCCTTAATTAATATAAGAAAGTTTTATAAAATTGTGTTGCTTTTTCGTGTCAAATGGGGTCACCGGACTCATTTTCTTGCTACATAATAAAATAGGTAAATTCACAACACATTCTATTATAAAAGTTACTTTATCTGAGTTATCTCCCCTTATGGGTCAAAGTTGAAAAAAAAAATCAAATAAAAATACTCTGTCTTGTGTAGAATACAGCCGTAAATATGATAAAACACTTAATTTTCTATATTAACATGAAAAGTCTTACACATGAATTACATACTACTCTCGAAATTTGCACATTTTATTAAAGATTTAGATCGATTGTTATCTGCTATTTCAAATTCCAAGAAAAAGGAAGACACCCCAGCTGCCTTAAACTGTTTTGTCTACACTTTTTGAATATACCATACATTGATTTTGTAGCTTGTTCACAAATGTATTTTCGGGTCTTTAGAAATGAACAACTTCTAGCAAAAAATATGCCACGGTATTTATAATCAGTTCAATTTCTAGTTCTCTATTCTGTATAAAAAATTTAAATATTTTTGGGTTGTCTCCCTTTGGAGAATATAAGAACTTTTCTCTTATCAATATTTATTTTTAGTTGCCATTTTTTACAATAATCACAAAATTCATTTACATTTGTAACATGTTTTGTAAATCTTCACTACTCTCGGAAAACATCACAGTCTCATCCGCATATAATAACAAATATTTTTTTAAAATACTGTCAACTCGTGTTCAAGGTTATCACTAATAGAGCTAACACCAAGTACATCTTTGCCTTCAAAAAATGTTGTAAATCGTTTACAAATATTGCGAAAAGACCAGGGGAAAGATTTTCTCCCTGTCTTACACCCAATTCACAAGCAAATAACTCTGATTTCTCGCCATTAAATATAATGCGTGATTTTACATTTTCGTACATATTTTGTATAATACGGAAAAATTTGCCGTTTATATTATTCTCTAAAAGTTTAAATATTAAATAAAAAATTTCTCTGAATAAAATCAAAGGCTTTTTCAAAGTCGACAAAGGCACAGTAAAGTTTTTTCTTCCTTAATTTAAGTAACTCAAATAGTGCATACAATGAAAATAAATGATCAATAGTGGAATAGCAATTGATTTGATTGACCGGCTTGATTTTCTAGTAAAATAGAATACGCATCAAGATAATCACATAATCTAGTGTTTAAAATAGAAGTAACAATCTTGCTAAGACAAGACAAAAGAGTAATAGGGCGGTAATTCTGTGGTTCGGTATTACTACCTTTGTTCTTAAAGATTGGTATGACGTTACCTATTATCCATGTCTCGGGTATTCTACCCGAATCAAAAATAATATTAATTGAATATATACACATAAATATCAATCATACAATCATTCAACAAAGAAAGATAACTTGTGTTTCCAATGTTAAACTATTTCAAACATCTTCTCCTCTGAAACTACTGAACCAATTCGTACAACACTTAACCTGAATGATCCTTAGGGTATCTTAAATAAAGTTTGTGTTTTATTTTCTGTTTTGTTTAAAAAACATGTCCGCCATGAACAAAAAATAGAACATAGGGGTAAAATGCAGTTTTTGGCTTATATCTCAAAAACTAAAGCATTTAGAGCAAATCTGACAAGGGGTAAAAATGTTCATTAGGTCAAGTTCTATCAGCCCTGAAATGTTCAGATGAATCTAACAAACGCTTGTTGGGTTGCTGCCACTAATTTTGTAATTTTAAGGAAATTTTGCTGTTTTCGGTTATTATCTTGAATATTATTACTGTAAACAGCAAAAATGTTCAGCAAAGTAAAATCTACAAATAATTTATATGACCAAAATTGTCAATTGACCTCTTAAGGAGTTATTGCCCTTTAAGGACAATTTTGCACAATTTGTTTATCGTGTTTTCTAACTTTAAAAAATCTTCTCCTCTGAAACTACTGAACCAAATTAAACCAAACTTAAGCCGAATGATTCTAAGGTAATCTAGAATAAAGTTTGTGTTTTATTTTGTGTTTCCTCAGAAAACATGTCCGCCATGGCTAAAAAAAGAATATACGGTAAAATGCAGTTTTTGACTTAAATCTCAAAAACTAAAGCATTTAGAGCAAATCTGACAAGAAGTTAAAGTATTCATTAGGTCAAGGTCTACCTGTCCTGAAATTATCAGCCAAATCAGGTATCTGATTTTTAGGTTATTGCCCCTGAATTGATGATTTTAAGGACATTTTACTGTTTTCGATTATTATCTTGAATATCATTATAGATAAGGATAAACTGTAAACAGCAAAAATATTAAGCAAAGTAAGATCTACAGATAAGTTTTATATGACCAAAATTGTCAATTGACCACTTAAGGAGTTATTGTCCTTTAAAGACAATTTTTCACAATTTGTTCATCTAGTTTGCTTACTTTTAAAAATCTTCTCCTTTGAAACTGCTGAATCAATTTCAGCCAAACTTGGGCTGAATGAGTTTCAGAGTATCTAGTATAAATTTTGTATTGTATTTCCTTGTACGTCAAGAAACATAGCCACTATGGCTAAAATGGAACATAGGGGTAAAATGCATTTTTTTGCTTTTGAAGAAAATATGACAGATACAAAGAACATTTAAATGGCATTTTAAGCCACTCATTAATATATATTGAAAAGCAAATAATAATCACTGATGAAAGATTTAAGCAAAAAATTACAGGTGAGCGATTCAGGCTCTTGACTCAGAGCTTCTTGTTTGTAATGTTTTTCCGACTGTCGAAGTCTTTCTTTAAATAAATTAGATCCATAGTGTTTATAAAGTCTTCAGCTTTTTCAAAATTCTTGTCTAACTTTTTTAAATTCTTTATTAAACAAATCTTTGTTCGAAAAGTTCCCTTTCTCGCCATTAGAATTTTTAGTAAATACCCCAAATGTGTCTTTTGCAGCACTCAATAGTACAGTCGTAATATCACTTACAATATCATCTACGGTAACTTGATCAACTAAAATAATATCCTCATATTTAGACATTACATTCAACAATAATTCGTTTACTTTATCAACAACATCAATGTTGTTTTTGTATTCAATTGTCTTTTCGTGTTTCCATTTACCAACGTGTACAGTACTGTCATTGATTACTTCGCTTTTACCTTGTGTATTACTTTATAGCTAAAAGACAAACACAAAGAAGAGTGTATATCTGACAAAAATCAGAAACTTCGCAATTATCCACTTTACATAAAATATTCGCAGTACATACCATATAATCTACTACGCTAACACTTCGACTTGTAGTAGATTAACCAAGTTCTCCTTAGTTGACCTACATATACCAAAGCAGTACAGGTGCCGGGTGCGACGGCAGGCATCAGGCAATCAATTAATCAAGTTATTCATCTGAATCACCACAAGTTAAGTCCATACATAAAATTCAACCGACTCAAACCAATCCTTCTGTGGACTCCTTCACATTTCATAGATTTGTTTTTCGATTAACTAACTTGTCAGTATGTGGACATGATTTACTAGTAACATCCGGTTTTTATCTAGGGTCTTCCTTCTACCAGTTTATCAATTATATTTTCTTTCTTCCAGATTGCCAGGAAACAGTCCGCTTGAAAATTTTCAACGACAAACCCGCAAAGCCAATGTTATATCTTCGGCAGGTCCAAAGAAGCCAACGACAAGTAAAGATGGGAGTATTAAATCGCAAGTTTTACAGCTGCTCAACTCTAAGGCGAATGGAAAATCAGAGATAAAAGCAATCGAACCTATAGAGTTCAAGAAACCAAAGAAATCTAAAACCAAGAAAGGAAACACAAAAACTACACTTCCGACTGTGAAGGGCACGGAGGTAAAAACTAAGAAGGATGGGACAGGCAAAAGCAAGAAAAATAAAGCACTGAAATCTATGCAAAAGGAGATTAAAAAGCTACAAAAAAAGTTAACTCCGAAATCCAAATCAACCTCTGTCACTCAAAAGGCAACCCAAACTAAAGTAGAAAAAGCAAAGGATCCAAAGTCAAATTCAACCAAGATAAAGAAGAAAGAAGTGAAGAATTCGAAGAAAATTATAAACAAACCTAAAAACGGAAAACTTAAGCCAAGCAAAAATAAATTGGCTAAAGCTAAGTCAAAGACGACCAAGAAAGATGGTAAAAAGAAGTCAAATAAGAATAAGGCGACTAAAGCTAAGTCAAAGAACAGGAACAAAGTACTTAAAACTAAGACAAAGCAGATAAAGGAAGTCACTAAAAATAAGTCAGGGAATAAGGAGGTTAAAACAAAGGTTGTAAAAAAAGTACTCAAAAATGTGTCAAAGAAAAAGAAAAAGGCTGACACTAAGTCAAAGAAGATTAACAAAGTAATCAAAAATGACCCAAAGAAAAAGAAAGTGGATATAAAGATAAACCTCAAAACTGAATCTAAGAAACTCAAAGTTAAACCTATAAGCATAAAATTAAAACAACCAACAACAAAGAAGCTCATTGCTAAGCTGAAAAAAGTTAAAAAGATTGCAACAAAAAAACTTCTTAATCAGCTTAAGAAAGTGAAAGTAGCTGCAACCAGTAAACTCAATTTGAAGCTTCAGAAAATAAAAAAGACACAATCTAAGAAACTAAAAGATGAGCCTAAGAAGATACAAAAGGCTGAAACAAAGAAGCTTAATACTGTGATTAAAAATATGAAAAAAGTTGAAAAAGGGAAATTAACTGACAAGCTTAAGAAAATAAAACAGGATGAAACAAGCAAACTCAATGTTAAGCTCGAAAAAATAAAACAACTTAAAACAAAGGAACTCAAAGCTGATCGTCAGAAGATCAAAAAGACTGAAGCAAAGAATATCAAAAATGTGCTGAAGCAAGTGAAAAAAGCTGAAGTAAAGAAACTCAATACCAAGCTTAAAAGCATAAAACAGGCTAAAACAGAGAATCTTAAGGTAAAAATTGAGAAGATCAAAGAAGCTGAAACATCAAAAATCAAAACTAAACCTAAGGAAAAACAACAGGCTAAAATAAAAAAACTCAACACTAAGTTGGCGAAAATAAAGCGGGTTGGGACAAAGAAAATAAATGCAGCACTTAAACAAATCAAACAGGTGAAAACAAATAAAATCAGTGCAAAGATAGAGAAAATAAAACAGGCTAAAAAAGAGAAACTCAAAGCTATACCTAAGAAGATAGAGAAGACTCAATCAAAGCTTATCAAAGCCAAGCTAAAGGAAATAAAACAGGAAGAAATAAAGAAACTCGATACCAAACTTAAGAAAATAAAACAAGTCAAAACACAGTCTCTCAATGCCAAGCTTGATAAGATCAAACAGTCGGAAAAAACCAATATCAAGACAGAGCCAAAAGACAAACAACAAACTAAAATAAAGAAACTTAATACAAAGATTAAGGAAATAAAACAGGTGGAAAAAAAGAAAATAGGTGTTAAGCTTAATGAAATAAAACAAGCCCAAAAACATGAACTCAATGCAAAGCTTAAGAAAATAAAGATGGCTGCAAAGAATCTCGACACTAAGCTTAAGAAAACAAAACAAGTTGAAACAAAGAAACTAACTGCTAAGCTTAAAGACGTAAAAAAGAATAAAATGAAAGACCTCAAGGAAAAACTTAAGAAGGTAGTACAGGTCGGAACCAAAAAAATCAAAGCAAAACCTAAGAAAGTACAGACAGTTAAAAGAAAAGAGCTCAAGGCTAAAGTTGAGAAATTAAAACGAGTTGAAACAAAGAAAGTCAAGGATAAGATTATAAAGATGAAGAAAGTTGAAACAAAGAAAATCAAAGCTAAGCTAGCGAACATAAAACAGGTTGGAACAAAGAAAATCGTGAAGAAGCTGAAGAAAATGAAAAGTAAACCAACTGTTATTAGTACAGCTGCTACGGGAAAAAAGCAAGTCAAATTAATTAAGAAAATAAAACAGGCTAAAAAGAATCTCAAAACTGAGATCAAGAAAGAAAAACAGGTTGAAACAAAGAAACTAAATGCTAAGCTTAAAATCATAAAACAGGATAACATGGAAAAAGTCGATAAAAAACTTGAGAAGGTAAAACAGGTCGAATTAAAAAAAATCGAAGCAAAACCTAAGAAAGTGCAGGAAGATAAAAAAAAAGAACTTAAGGCTAAACTAAAGAAATTGAAGCAAGTTGAAACAAAGAAAGTCAAAGATAAGATTATAAAGATGAAGAAAGTTGCAACAAAGAAAATCAAGGCTAATATAGATAAACTAAAACAGGTTGAAACAAAGAAAATAAAGAAAATGGTGAAGAAAACGAAAAGTAACCCTATTGTTATTAGTACAGCTATTACAGGAGGAAAGATAAAGTCTTTGATGTCTCAACCAACTAAATCAGTGAAACTTAATACTAAAGCAAAGAATCTAAAATCAGACATACAGGCAATACTTAAAGAAAAAACAAAGACACCAATTAAACCAAAGATTAAACCAAAGACATCAAAACTCATTAAAAAAATGAAACTGTCAACAAAAATAGAGAAAATCAAACAACCAGAATCAGAGAAAATCAAAGAAGAGCTAAGTAAATTGAAACAAGAAGTTAAAACAAAGAAGCTCAAAGCTAAGCTTAATCAAATAAAAGAAGTTAAAGCAAAAAAAATCGAAACCAAACTTGAGAAGATGAAACAGATTAAAACTAAAAAACTCAAGACTGACCTTAAAAAGATGAAACAGAAAGAAACAAAATTACTCAAAGCTAAGATTAAAGAGTTGGGACAGACAAAAACAATGAAACTCAAAGCTAAGATTAAGAAGATGGGACAGGCAAAAACAAAGAAACTCAAAACAAAGCTTAGGAAGTTGGAAAAGGAAAAAATGAAGAAACTCAAAGTTGCGGTGAAGAAATTAGAGAAGGCTACCGAAAAGAAACTCAAAGTGGCGGCGAAGAAAATAAAAAAGGCCAACAAAAAGGCACTCAAAGCCGAACTAAAGAGAAAGCAAGCTACTGAACAAACGAAAAATGAGACCAACGTTCAGCAAAAGAAAGCATTAAATAAGATGATGAAAATGATTAAAACGTTGAAAGTTAAGCAAAAACAAATTGACTTAAAACCAGTAGCTGTCAAGTCTAAAACGAGCCTTAAAGATAAATCTAAAATGAAGAAGAAACCTTCAAAAAAAGGAGTGGTTCATATTGTGACGAAACTAGTCAAAGGTAAAGCTTTAAATAAAGAAGCTGTAGAAGGAATACTTGAACCAGAAAAGACTAACGGAAGTATTTCAATAAAAGTTGGAAATAAAACGAAAAAACCTAAAGAGAAAGCAGTGGAAAAATTGTTGAAGAAACTCGTAAAAGGAGAAGTCCTGAAGCAGAATGTTTTTGCAAAAAAGATAAAGCCTAGTAAGAAAAAACAAATAACGAAAGCAATAATAAAGAAAGTGAAAAAACTTGTTAACGTGAAAAAACTTGTTAAAGGGAAAGCACTGAATAATAAAACAACTGCAGACATACTTAAATCTATCAAAAAGAAGACACCTTTACGTAAAGCAATTATGAAGAATGTGAAAAAAATTGTTAAAGGCAAAGCACTGAAACAAAAGAAACTTTCAAGAAAACTTGACTCTAAAAAGAAGTCACCTTTACATAAAGCAATTATGAAGGATGTGAAAAAAATTGTTAAAGGAAAAGCACTGAAACAAAAGAAACTTGCAGGAATACTTGACACTAAAAAGAAGAAACCTTTACAAAAAGAAATTATGAAGGATGTGAAAAAAATGGTTAAAGGAAAAGCACTGAAACAAAATAAACTTGCAGGACTACTTGGTTCAAAGAAGAAGAAACCTTTACAAAAAGCAATTATGAAGGATGTGAAAAAAATGGTTAAAGGAAAAGCACTGAAACAAAAGAAACTTGCAGGAATACTTGGCTCAAAAAAGAAGAAACCTTTACATATAGCAATTATGAAGGATTTGAAAAAAATTGTTAAAGGAAAAGCACTGAAAAAAAACAAACTCGCAGGAAAACTTGGCTCAAAAAAGAAGAGACCTATACATAAAACAATTATGAAGGATGTGAAAAAAATTGTTAAAGGAAAAGCACTGAAAAAAAAGAAACTTGCAAGAATACTTGGCTCAAAAAAGAAGGGACCATTACATAAAACAATTATGAAGGATGTGAAAAAAATTGTTAAAGGAACAGCATTGAAACAAAAGAAACTTGCAGATTTACTTGGCTCTAAAAAGAAGAAAACTATGCAGAAAGCGGCAATGAAAGCCGTAAAGACACTTGTCAAGGGAAACGGAACAAAACCAGGAGTAAAAAGCGTAAATAAAAACAATACACTTAATATTCTAGGAACACCTAATCCAACGAAACCTGCCGAAATAGGTGTCAAAAATACTTCAAAAAACACCACGGAAAAGGCCATTATAAAGAAAGGGAATGCATCTATACTGGAAAAGGGAATTCAAGTAAAGAAAGAAGCTAATATAATCAAAGCTAAAATTGAAAAGATGTTATATAGGGTGAATACGAAGAAAAAAGGGGCTTCACCAAAATTAGCTAAAAAAATAGAAAAAATGGCTGACACAATAAAGAATCAGGTCGACGATATAGTTACACAAAAAAATAAGGAGAATGAGGTCTCGATGGACGGTCTGTATGGAGCAAACTCTCCTATGTACTCAAGTCTGATGCATCTTGAAGTTGACCTTTTAAAACTTTTAGACTACATGGAGCATTCAAAGGTGAAAATGGGTGACGCGTTTGAGTCAAAAGCATTGAAAAAAGAATTGAAAAGTGCAAACAAAGGAAACGATGTGAACGTGTTCAATAAACAACTTGGCTCAGTGATGAAAAAGATGAAAGGAATTGATAAAAAGATATCGGAGGAACACAACAAAATTGTTGGATATTAAATTAATCTTTTCGTTGATATCATTTAAATATATATGGTTTCATTTAGTATTGTTTTGTTAGGATAAAAAATTATTTATTTTCTCTTTTCCCTTTATTCTAAAATAAATTTGACGGAAACTAAAATACAAATTGATATGCTTGATGTGTACTTAGTATATGATGAAGGAAACTAGCTAAAAAGATATAAATATATATCAGTTTCAATTTGTGTACTGAATTAAATTATGTCTCCTCTTCGACGGAGGGCGACACTATTTTATAGTAGTATTTCTTCTTCTGATTCTTCTCATACAACCATGCCCGGGCCAAATTTTTTTGTCTTTTGATACTGGCTTTTGATATTAGGTATGAAGTTGTATCACGATAAGATGGTGAGTCAAGATGGTGAGTCGCTTATAACAATGACTATCGTGTGACCTTGACCTTGGTCCTCAATTTTGAAATACTTGATTTTAGGAAATTTTCGTGTCTAAAACAACTTTTTTATCCGTTGACATAGGGTTTTGATATTTGACACTGACCTTGAACTTTGACCTTAATGGTAAAATTATTGATTTGTATATGTCCACTCCATAACCATATATTTTCTTGCTTGCCATGACCAGACCTGTTCAATGCAACTAAGGGTTTGCCACTGGGTGGTTATGCTCCAGTCCTTCGTGTAATAAATCGTTAAATATCTCAAAAATTGTTCAGATGACCACCCTTTTACGATGTCTGGTCTTAATTGCCTTGATAATATTTTTTAATTCAACTAAGGTTTCGTCCCTGAGGGACATGCCCAATCTCATGAACATCATTGATTATCCACCCTTACTTAGATAATATATAGTCTTAATTACATTTATATTAACTTTTTCATATAGGTTTTGTCTCTGTGTGTTATGCCCAATCCCTTCAATACCACTCATTATTTAATATCTTTAAAAAAACCTAAACCATACATATTCTTAATTGTCATAAGACCTTTTAAGTGCACCATTAATTTTGTCTTAGTTGGGGAAGGGAGACATTGCCCATACCTAAATATCATTATGTGTTCAATATATTAAAAACATTTAAAATTCCTATTCATTAAGCATAAATAATATTCTTATTTGCCACGACAATACCTTTTCAGCAATTGTGTTTTATTGACCTTTTCTTTACTTGACCGACTTCTAGAGGTGAAAGCATTAGTTTTAGTCTACAAGGCGATACATTAGTTTTAGTCTACAAGGCGAGAAATTAGTTTTAGTCTTCAAGGCGAGAAATTAGTTTTAGTGTACAAGGCGATACATTAGTTTTAGTCTACAAGGCGATTCATTAGTTTTAGTCTACAAGGCGATTCATTAGTTTTAGTCTACAAGGCGATACATTAGTTTTAGTCTACAAGGCGATACATTAGTTTAAATTCACAAGACGATACATTAGTTTTAGTCTACAAGGCGATTCATTAGTTTTAGTTCACAAGGCGGTACGTTAGTTTTAGTTCATAAGGCGGTACATTAATTTTAGTCCACAAGGCGATACGTTAGTTTTAGTTCACAAGGCTGTACATTAATTTTAGTCCAAGAAAACAGTTCCACTAGTTTTATTTCTCTTACCTTTATTGTCACTATTTTGTCTGCTTTTTAGTTTTATGATGTTGTTTGTCCCCACTAGGATATAAAAATAAGATGTGGTATTGTTGCCAACCAGAGACCAAATGACGTAGAAGTTAACCACTACAGGTCACCGTATGGCCTTCAACAATGAGCAAATCCTATACCGCATAGCAAGCTATCAAAGGCCCCGAAATGGCAAATGTAAAACAATTCAAACGATTCAACTGATGGCCTGATTTATTTATAAAACAATAAACGAAAACAACTATGATATACAGAAACAAACGACAACAACTGAATTACAAGCTCCTGACTTACGACAGGCACACACAGAATGTGGCAGGGTGAAACATGTGCGGGGCGCCCAACCATCCCCTTACCTGTGACAGAATGTTTCTTTGAACATGGATGTGTAAAACGGGACGAGCAGGTTTTGTTGGTTTAGTACCCTGATCGATGGTTATTCAAACATGAATAGGAAATGTGAGTTATGAATGTATGAGACAGCATACGAGCGACACTAAAAAAACAATAGACATTTTGAAACAGCAAACAAACGACGTCAAGAAACTCAAAGCATAAGACAGCAAACGAACGACACTAAAAATAAAGAAAAACAAACGACACAAAAAAGAAAAACAAACGACACAAAAAAAACAATAAGACATCTTGAAACAGCAAACAAACGACACACAAAAAAAAAATTACAGACATCTTGAAAGAGCAAACAAACGACACAAAAAAAAAACAATAGACGTCTTGAGACGGTAAACGAACGACGCAAACTAAAAAGCAATAGACATCTTGAGGAAGTAAACGAAAGACGCAAAATAAATAAAAAAAGACATTTTGAGTCATCATACGATCATGAAAAATAGAGTGATGTCTATACTATTGGTCAAGCTGTATACCGAGTCGACTCAAAGATCTGCTATCAACGACTAAAGCATGGAAACAGGATGTGGTTTAATTGCAAATGAGATAAGTATCCACCAGAGACAAAATTATGTAAATATACAAAAAGGGGTCGGTAGAATAGGGAGAAAAACGAAGATCTGGTCTCCCTTAAACAGTTTTTACGGTACCAGCGACTTATTAAATTTATCAATAACTCCATTTTGGTATTTCTAGAAATTTGAAAGTATTTGATAAAGAAATTTACTACTAATGTCTCTTTTATCGACCATGCTATTCTTTTTTGTAGCTCCCCCTCGGATCTTCATTTACTTTTGGGGACCCTGTATTTTCGGGTTATGTGTTAGATGTTTGGCTATGATCAGGTATTGGTAGGACATAGTTTAAGAGTTAGGGTTAATTTGGATCGGTTTCTTGAGGTATCAGCTTTTTTCACTTGTTCCCGCTAGAATATAAAAGTGGTATTGTTGCCAAATATCCACCAGAGACCAAAAGACGTAGACGTTTTAAAAAACAACTATAGGTCACCATACGGCCTTCAACAATAAGAAAATCCAATACTGCATAGCAAGCTATTATAAATGACCCATAATGACAAATGTAAACATTTAAAACGGCAAAACTAACGGCCTGTTTTGTGTTCAAAACAATTAACGAAAAACACATATGATATACAGCAACAAACGACAACCACTGGATTACAAGCTCCTGGCTTTGGACTGGCACATACAGAATGTGGCGGGGTTAATGTTTGCGGGCGCCTAACCTGGTACAGAATGTTTCTTTGAACATGGATGTCATTGTGTAATACGGGGTGGGCAGGTTTTGTTGGCTTAGTACCCTGGCCTGATCGATAGTTATTCAAACATGAATAAAAGGAAATGTGAGGTACGATTGTTTGAGACAGCAAACGAACGACGCCAATTAATAAAACTAGACATCTTGAGTCATCATACGATAACGAAAAATAGACTGATGACTATACTATTGGTCAAGCTGTACACCGAGTCAAAGATCTGCCATCAACAACATAAGCATGGAAACAAGATGTGGTTTAAGTGCCAATGAGACCAAATAATGTAAATATACTGAGAGGGGTCGGTAAAATAGGGAGAAAACCGAGGATCTGGTCTCCTGTAAACAGTTTTTAAGGTATCTTCGACCTTTTAATCAGTAACTCATTATCAAACACGCTATTCCCTTTTGTAGCTCCCCCTCCATTTGCTGTTGGGGACCCTGTATTTTCAGGTTTAGGTTAGAGTTTGGTTTAATTTAAATTTTAGGGTTAGGTATTTAGATGTTTGACTAGTATTATGATTAGGTATTGGTAGGACCTAGTTTTAGAGTTATGGTAAATTTGGATAAGCCCTATATTGTTCGGATTCCATAAAGTAAATAAAGCCCCAAAATTAATGTTTTGTTTACTTGTTTTGTCTGCATTTATCCAAATGTTTTGGAACATTACATCAATAGATATAACATTTTGCTTTATTTTTACATGTTTTACACGGACTAGCAAGTCAGTGCAATTACAACTTTTGTGATAGAATTGAATGAATTGAATGCACTGGTCTAAGCTCCTCCCGTTCTTTCCTTTTTCTAAGAGTAAGAAAATAAAGGAAACCAGGAAGCTTTGCTGCGTACACGATTATATGAGTGAATAAGACGGTACCGTTTCTCTGGTATAACTCTAGCTACAAAAAGTAATAACGGTGCTCTAACAGTTTAATGCCATTAGTTGAAGAAGAACACCACTTTAGTTTGTATATATGGGCACCAATATTTAAGAAAGAGTGAAATTAGGACAGAACACTCTGTATTTCAAATAGTGGGTAAGCTGGTTCAATGATTATCTCTCTTCCAAATAATACTCTTCAGTTTTTGACGCGTTCGCCGCACAGGGACTCGGTATGCAGATCAACATTTTTATGCCCCCGTCGTTAGGCGAAGGGGGCATTAAGCACCCGTACGTCCGTCCGTCCGTCAGAACGAACGTCCGTCAGAACGAACGTCCGTCCCAAAATTGGTTTCCGTTTTCTAACTTTAGTTTGCCTTAACCAAATGTTATGAAACTTAATATACCCAATGCATATTACCTTAAAACACAGATCAAGTTCGAATGAGGGTGGCGTCACTTTTACAGTTCTCTAGTTATATCCCTTTATAACGTTATATGCAAGCGGGGGCTTCATATGTGTCCCATGGACACATTCTCCATTTATTTTAATCAGGCATCAATATTTCGTAGTTTTTTAGCAATGTACATGCAGTCTACTATCAACATCAGTATACTGAAAACCCTAAATGGATCTAAGTCGCCATTACGAATAGCCTACCCTTCATTAAAAATATTTCTATGTGACTGTATACCTTATAAAGGCATTCATTTCCTTCCTAAGTGATTCTTATACCAGAAGTATGTATATTGATTTCCCGATCAACGACTATACCTTACTCAGCTATTGTTTCAATCAGGTCAAAAAAATTTAATTTCCCGGCGAAAGCAACGTAACTGACAAGCATGTCGTTTTTCAACAACATAGACGCAATGGGAGATACATCTGTCATTACATCCAGTGGCAAATATTTCATGCATGTAAAGGATAAGAACTAATTAACAATAAAGCCAGTTATAGGGGTCGACCAGAATGAAGAGCGGTAATATGAAGCAGTAATATTCACTGCAAGTCCATTTAATTGAATTTAACAACCTTAATAAAGCTTTGAATAAAGAACCAAATATAACCAATTGTTCAATTT